CAATGAAATTTGTCTAGCAATCCAAGATGGTAAGAGAATAACAGGTAAACGAGAGCGTCTACTTATTGAATTTTTGAACTAGCGGAACTGAAGGACTGACGTCATAAGAATGATGTCACCTTGGTGTTGGTATTGGGACGTTGTTTTTGGATAGAACAAAAAAAGAAGTCGATGGTAGGGCTCCAACCACTGAAGGGTCAGATTCATAGCGCAGGTGACTTAACCCCTTTCTTGTGTCTCACCTTGAAGCAACATTTTCCTTTAAGAGCAATTTACTTCGTAGCAAATTCCTTCCCAATCGTATTCATCATCAGGCCCAGGGTAGTCTTCCATACATTGCTTGTAACCATCTGGAAATGTACATCCTTCGGGAATGTCTAAGGATCTCTAGTTTTGAATTCTCTATAAGCGACGTCATCTATTTTGATGAAAGGACCAAAAGGAAGTTTGTCAAAGTACTGAAAACCGTACATTGATTTTGTGTTAACAAATGTAAAGAGGAAATTGTCGCAGTGAATTTCAAAATTAGAGAAAAAAACGTCCACAAATCTTTTACACCTGGAAAATTTTCCCTGGCCATGATTTGAGTTTTTTATTTGCCTGCTGCCATCGTTATAATTTATTCTATAGCGGAACTTGACAGCTTCTCCGCTCATTTTGGTAGGTTTGTTTCCTCTGGCAGCGGACCATTTATACCAACACTGCCGCGACATTCGTTTTCATTTATAGTCATCATGTTTTCATAATAATAATGCCAATCATTGATTTTCTTTAAAAGAGACAAGCATTAGAGCCAGAAAGCCATTAAGGGTTATAGGGTTGTTGTAATGACCTAAAAACAACCATGTGAAATGTATTGGACGCAAAGTTCTGTATCGATAGACTTTCCCTGTTTAGATATAAGAGAGTCCGTTTACTGGTTGATGCTGTTCCAAGTTCACATTTCTGTTGTTATAGAGACTAACTTTGAAATGACAAGACTCCCCAGATAAAAATGGTTGCATAAATACAGGTGCCCTGCCCTCATTTCATCACCGAGAAGATTCTCTCCTTATTTTTGTCTCGGCCTGCAACCCATCGCCAAAAAACGAACGGTCGATAATCTTCCTTAACCTCTAAATGAAGCACTGTTATTACACACCGCAAAGCACTTTTAGTCATAAAGTCAACCAAATTCTTACACTTGCCTTTTATGACAGAACACAAATTTCCTGGCAACAGCAAAATTAAGGCCACCAAAAAGCAAACAGAAGTCCTCATAATTCAAACAATGTGCAGGCAAAAAACGTCTTTGTAAAACAAACAATCAACAACAACAAATAAACGTCAGGGCAAACGAATTATTTCATACATCCTAATTAATCTTGTTTTTTTTCCTACGTGCTGTACATTACGTTTACCGTGATTTATTTTCCGCTCGTAGGATTAGGTGGAAGAAATTAAGTGGAGGTAGTTAGCGGAACAAGATCTTCGTGGGGAATTTTCCTGTCAGCGTTACATGTTTTTTTTTTTTTGTTGCCTTCCTTTTCGGCCTCCTTGACTGAATGGTGTTCATTCGTCACCCTGCACACGTTAGATGACAAGGTTTTCCCTGGCCGCAGGGTGAGAGGCAGCCAATAGTAAAAGTCAAACCTGCTGAGTTATTTTTAAACGCAAAACCCCTAAATTTTGCTTCCTGTACATGTCCGAACTACTGAAGCGGATATTTTGCACTGGAACAGCAAGGCCTCGAAGTGTCCAACCGACGGAAAAATGGGTCGATAAGCTTCAAAAAGCGTTTTTGCAATAAAGTCCCCAGAGGCAAATGGGCTAACTTTCTTTGTTATATGTGAAGCTTATTGACATTGTTTTAAAAAATGTTTGCCAGTGAAGAGGAAACTAGAAAGCGTAACCGTAAGTGGCGGTAGTGGCTCCTAAAAAAAGGTTGATTTAACTCAAACCTCCCATACTTGCAGTCTATCTGTTTTTCTTTCAGTCCTTTTGTCACTAACTTAAAAGTTTAAACGGCTAATCTGTTTGTGGAGTTTAGCCTGAATTTTGTTAATGGTTTCCTGAAAATCGCGCTTACATTCAGTCAACTTCAATGCAAAAAAATGCCTGTTCTTTTTTTTTGTTTTTTGGCAATTTCTTTTGTGTATATATTTCCAATGTTCCGTCCCTGGATTTATCATTTTGGAGTGAATGAAGTCGTGTGAATGAGTTTTATCAACGCTGGTGGGCCAAATGAGGCCTTTTGATCTCTTATTCGGAGCTTGTTCAAAGCGTGTGTCAAAGCGTAATGTGTTTAAATTTTCTGCTTCGGCGGTTATGAGGACTATTTGTCATAAAATGATGTCCAAATCATTCTGCAAGGTGTAACTCAAACCCTAAATATCTTAAACTCCCTAAAATTGAACCTTTTTCTAACGGGGGTCAACTGTATCTATCGTTAAGAAAAGTGACACTAAAAAGATAAGCTATATTGAAAAAAAAATTTTGTACGAACTTACCACTCTGCGGCTGGCCACCTTAGTTAGAGTTAGTCTTCTAGCTCTTCAAAGGCAACTTTGGCTTGTAAGGCCTTAATTATCTCACATGTCAGGCAATCTATTTTGGCCGGAAATTTATCCTTAAAGTTATGTTATAATGCAAGTCTAATGAAAAGAAAAAGCTAGGTAATATCAATTACTTGAATGCTAACACAGTGCAGTAAAATATGAATTTTACAATGAAAGTTTTAATTGATATATCAGCATCAGTTTCTTGACTTGAAAGGTTGCGTTATTGCTATGCCTGACATATTATTACATATATATCCTGGTAATCAATTTTTGTTGTTGGGCGTGAAGAAAACGTCTGTCTTTAATTCAGAACTTTTTCTGTAAGTTTGGTTCGGTAAGATTCACATGCACGTTAATCAATATACGGTTCAGGAATGTTGGAAATATTCAAGTGGAATAGTAACTCTCAGTTGGGCCTAAGATTACATACTTTCAGCGCAATAATACTAAAAACATATTGAGGAAATGAAAAGTCCCTTTTAAGTTACAGTAATAATTAACTGCATGCTTACCGAGGTGACTCTTTTAATAACAGTAATAACTTTCAAGAGGTACGTTTCCTACTTCATTTGTTTTCTTGTCTTTCTTGGACTTACAGTAGCGATCATGTGACATTAAATCTTTTTTTTTTTTCTAAATGTCTAAACGGTCTCGATTCCGCAATCTGCTTGGTTACGGGCGCGGTCTTTCAAACACTTTAGCAAATGACCTTCAGCTTTAATGCAACCTTAACATAGCTACGACCCAGAGGACCCACGATCCTAGAAAACCATCTCTCAATCATGTAACGTTTCACGAAATGTGTCTGTCCATCTTCGTTGCTGTTTTTAATCGTCACATCTACAATCCTGGACGAAAGTCCTTGGGACAGTACTGCAATTTTTAATTTTTTTTCTGTCATTTCTCGGTTTCCTCTTAAAACAGTGCATCCTTTTCGAAATTTTCCTGCAGTTCTCCCTTCCCCCACGCTATACAAAGTTGAAACTCGGAAAAAAAACTCTGGATACACGCGTCCAACATTGGGGTGAGGGGAGGGGTTGGACCTGTGTGAATTGGAAAACGCCCCAGAAACGCAAAAGTGTCCCAAGACTTTTCTCCATGATTGTAGCTTTACTGGTTTCTTTTTTTAAATTTTTTAAGCTCCGGGACCACTGTAATTGGCTTACCGCTGTCGTGGTATCCCTGCCTAATTAAGCATTTATTTTACTTTGTTTCAGTACAAATTTAATATCCTTTAATCTTTTTCCTTTTTCTCTGTTTCATGTAATAGGCGAAGCTAATGAATAAAATAAAATAGAAATAGACGGGTTTTAAGAGAAAAGGCCGACCGCAAGCAGTCAATAACAACACGGTCTAAGACAATACCAGACCACGTGCTCTAAACAAGTGAAATGAAAACAATTATTCACGTTTATCGAAAAAAACATGCTTTTTTATTATTTCAACCCCCCTTTCAGTGTTCAATAAGTGACATCGTAACCAGAAACTGTACACAATTTGTGGAGAGCCAATAATCTTTAACTGTCACTTATCTTCAATGTTTAATACGTGTAAGTAAAAGTTGCTATGATCTGACAATTTAATGAGTCGAACCCACTACAAAAGTATTATAAATTCTAAAAATTTATGTTCATTCTGAAAACAGAGAAGAAGTTGTGAAACATATACCTTGACGACAAGGCTTTGAGGAGCAAATAAAGAATTTTAATGTATTAGAGTATAGTGAGGAGGATTCAGTTACTCGTGCACGCAATTTGCCTCGTTGTAAAGTCTCAGTGCGATCCATTAAACGCATAATTTGGTTCGGAGGTTAAGGAACAAAATTAAAACATAAAAACAGAATATTCATCCTTGAACTAGAATATTATGCCTTTTGTTTTAGTTAAGAACCATCGGAGACAAGTATAAATTTTATTTATTTTAAAAAACGCTTCCTTTCTCTGCCTTACTTATTAGATGAAGCAGTTGTATGTTATTTTTTTTTGTTTGGTAAAGGGAACTTGGCTTTAAGTCTTATTGAATCTATCAATAGTTTCTTTGGCAAAATGGAAGAGAAAACTGTAAATAGAAGATGTGGCGCAGATGTTTTACTGTTGTCCCACTGATTTAACTGCTTGTATTGCAGGCAGGGTGGTCGAGTGGTTAGCGCGCTGGATTTGTACAGTACTGGACGTATGGGTTCGATCAATTCCCGCTCGCACCATTGTTTATAGCTTTGTTTTACGATAGTGACAAATTTAACCTCTGGGCCACACTTCTAAATACCGAACCTGACCGCCTCCAACTTTTAGTCGTTGCTAGTTTAAAAAATAGATAAATTGTCAATTTGCTTTTCAATTCATGACAACTCAAACGGGCAGATCCATGAGCGATATCAATAGTTATTTCTTTCAATCTGGCCCACTTCGCTTACACCCATTGTAAAAAAAATAAAATTATGAGGGCTATTTTCACCTTACCTTAATACTCCTTTCCTGAGGAGACAGCAGTAAAACCTGATAATCCTATCCAGGTGGGAAAAGGATAAGGCTTACAAAGCATGCTGGAATTATCTCTCAACTCAACCACTACGATTAACGTAGCCTGCGTAGTTGGCGGAATTGTTTTTGCACGAGTGGGACGTTTGGTGGCAAAGCCGCCATTCTGGAAGGGACCGCCGATTTGGGTTTTTAACGCGTCACCTGCCCTTTCTCCGCACGGATTGACAGCTTCTCTGCGAAAACTCTCCCGCATGAGTTTGGATCGTGAAAATTGCATTGTTAAGGAAACAATATGTGGTCAAGACAGTGCTATAGTTGCCTTTTAATTCAATATATTGCCGTGAGTTATTTCCCAGCTGAAATGCACAGCCAAATCATATCTAGTACAGTCAATACGTACAGAATAAACTAGAGTATTTTTTGTTAGGTTTTTATTCGATACAACCGTTTTACATCATTTTGAGGACCTCATGGAATTAACCCTTGTTTATTCTTTCGAGCAATCTCGAGGCGATAGTTTCTGAAAAGCCAAAAAAATGTTATAAATGCCACTGAATGTTCAATATCACAAACATCCTACTCTACATTTTGCAATGGAAAGGACCTGGTTTATTTTACTGGTTTCGGAATCACGAACTCGTCCAAGAATTTAGTTCTCTCACTTTCAACGAGCAGTGCGGATCACAGCTCCACGAAAAAAAACCCGAAAAGTGAACGAGCTGTGAGGAGGGAATGACGGTTTTGGTTCCTCTTTAGGGAAGACATTATCATTTGCAGATGTCAGAGAAACAGCCGAACATTCTCCGCAGCTATCGTAAGAGTTTGAGAGCTAATGCGGCCGGGGTTTGAACCGGCGTCACTTTCCTCTCCGTAGACGGGCCCTTATCAAATTTAACTTGGTGGCACCTGTACTCTGAAGAAGGGCTAGCAATGGAATGGTCATTAGTGCAAAAGGAATATCCTGAGGATAATAGTCAGTGTTTGACCTGTTGTTACTTACATGTACTTTACTTAGAGGTTTAGCCAAGTAATTGTAAAAAGTACTGTACGCTCTTGCATTTTTGAGGAAAAATGAGAAATAGTAATGAATTGTAAAGTGGGAGGATAAACAATAACACTGATAAAGACAGCTGCTGGTATTCGTATTGAAAAAAGTGTTTGATTTTGATTTCTCAATATTACAAGCCCATCAGGTTTTGGTCTCTGTGTACAGGCAAGTTCGTAAAAGATGCCTACAAGATCATAATAATCAGGTGATCTTTTTTTCTTCTCCTCCATCATACATTCAATATAATGAGAAGGCCAATGACATCCCTCTGGTACTTGTATATCTGCATTTCTTCTGACTTCAGCTTGGTCATCTATCGGCAAAACATACAGAAACAAAAGAACACAGTTGTCGATATTCTTTGTGGACACAAAATTTGTTCTTTGTAGGATAAACATGGCCCTTATCAGATTACTAAAAAAGTTATGTAGGTATATGATCTAGTACGATTTCTCATTGAAAACATAAACAAAACCCCCTATGGTCTCCCATTTGAAAATGACGTCTCCTCGCTTAGAACTGAAAGTTGCAGATTTTTTTGAGGAAACGGAGGGTCGAACGCCTATATTTTTGCCAGTGAAGGTATTTCTTAGGGTTATGCGTAAGTATACTGAAAGGAAACAAACGTCGTCATATTGTCTTCGAGTACGCTCTCCTTTATGCTCCGATTGGTCTCGTTCAGGGGATCGAAGGAGAATGAGAGATTTTTCACTCTCTTTCTAATTTTCTGTTAATCACCCCCGTCTCTTTCTAATGGGAGTTCTCCTAAGACGAGACCCATGACCCTGCAAAACCAAGTATTTAGAATAGTCAGCAAAGGAATACAATGTGTTAGAACCTTACCTCCAAAGGTCGAACTGACTGTAGCAAAAGTCGTCATGCTGAATATTAACATTAACTCTGAACATTAACCTGAGGTGGTATTCCCCGGGGATACTTCATACAATGGCCTTTACGGGGAGGCTTCGCCCGATAGAAGAACCTCTTTCTGGCTTCACGTGAGATGGAAGGGTAGCAGAATCTGTCATTCCGGTTTGTAAAAAGACTCAAAAGGGCTAATATCTACATTTTCTGGCTCTTAAAAGTAGAGAAAACATTTTGTAAGGTGATTGATATATATTTGAAAGACAACAAAGATGCAAACGTTCTAAGGTAGGTGTGTAAAAGGAGTACCAAGGGGTACTTTTTCTGTAAAAAAAGGAAAATTAAAATGGGGATTGGACCATGGGGCGGAGCGTACCCGTAAGACTTTGTTGAGTGCCCCTCCCCCTCCCGTACATTTTGCTCAGCTGTCAGGATAAACAGTTTGGCCCAGCATTTCTAAACAAATGGATTGGCGTTTTAGTTAGTTTATTTTACGACTTTTCCAAAAATTATGCAGAGGGAAGCTTAGAAGAAGTCACTTGAGCGTAGAGAATAAATCTAAATAAAGTTGAACGTTCTTAATGCGTATTAGTTAAACGAAATACCAGTGCCTCGGAAACAGAATAGTAAAATACTTACCGTTTTGGTTTTCTTTCCTGAAATAATTGCTAAGTACCCCTTTTCTTAACAGATCTAATTATATCACGGCCAAATGTCTAAATACCGGCCCTTTTCAATTTGCTGGGATTACGGCAATTCTCAAGAGTAACCGATGGTTGCTTAACTAACGTCAAATAAGGATGCATCATTGGAAACGAACATGATGACAAAGCCATTTTGTGTGTTCTCCGTGTGTTTTTTGTTATAGTCACCAAAATCAAAATACTGACATGCTTCTTACTTATTGATTTTTTGGTTTAAATATTGAAGTTACCTTAAAAATTTTTCTTTTCATGGAATTAGGGAAGTTCTCTTTTAGTTTTTGTTCCACTTCATTTGACATGTTAGCATCTAGAAACATCCTCCTTCAATAACTCAGAAAATGAGCTATTGATTGCAATGGATGGAATTAATAACTTTAGATGGAACCCGTGTTTACATAGGTAATCTTGAGCTTATTTTCAGCTTAGTTAAAGTGTGGGACTGTACCAGTTTGCGATTCACCTTTTTTTTATATCAACCCTTATTAATCCATTTTTTTTAGTAATTCACTTCAAAATTTTACTTTAAAGCTCAGTAATTTGTGTTTTTTTAATCTGCTTTAACGGTTAAGTAGCTCTGTGATTGAAAAAATCTCTTGAGCTATCATACCAAAATCTTCCGTCTCCAACTCATATTCAGATTAATTGGTTTCAAAAGTTCAGTTTTTAAGGTAAAATATTCTTCTTCAAATATAGCCACCCTCCTTCTCCAGAAAAAAACCTTTTCTTTATACGATAACGTTCCTGTCACCAACAATCATGTTAAAATTCAACCTATGAGAAAACGTTAGGAACAACAGCGCTGACAGGGTATAGTAAAGAATTGAATAAAGTTCATTTTCCAGGTATCCCTAGAACTGAACAAGAGCAAATTTTCTCCACAGTTTAACCGTGCCAATCAATTTCTTCTGATGGAAATTTAGGGAATGTCCACACTTGGTGCCCGAGAACTAGTGCCTGGGTAGTGACAAAAAGGGTGTTTTGTTCACACCTTGGGTATACCTAAAATGTAAACTGTGTACATTATTTACTCCTTTTTGCCCTCTGTGAGACGCCATTTTGAAACGCGAGCTTAGTAGCGAGTAGATAGCAGTAGATTATCCCAGAACAAACAAAAACGGTGTACACCCAGTAGGTGACCAAATCCCTTTTTAATGCCAAAGTATAAGGTCTCGACCTTGTCCCCGGGCACCGACCACACGCATTTATTCGGGGGTGGATACTTGATAAAAGCGTGTGTTCACATTAGTGTCCAACGAGTACCGCACTCGGGCGTTGTACCCATGCATCAAGTGTGAACACTGCCTTAGTCTCCCCAAAGGTTTCAAACCTCACCAGCCCGTCTATGTGTACGTCAACAGTTAGTATGCCTATGCGTTAGTATTCAAGAGCGAAATGTTAGTTGAGTTTGTTGTTGGGTCTCTTCTCTGCTCCAAGACTGATGGGGATTTTTCAAGGTACATTCAAACCTTGTTTTATGAACACCCACTTAATTGGGACACCCCGTTAATACAGACACTTTCTAAGGCCTCCTCCGTGTCCTTATTTGCGGGGTTTGAATTTCCTTTCATTTCAGTTTGCAGTGCTTATTTCAAAGAAAGAAAGACATTCAGCACACTATCTCCTGGTGATTTGAGCGAATAAAGCTGTAAATATGAGCAATTTTCGTGTATTCCGTGGGATTGTTTTAACTCCTTAAGATGGCTGGCATTTCGCTACCGGTACACTAAAGAAACGGTTACGAAGGTGTAGGGACTATACGACTACGGTTCAGCAATTTTTTTCAAATCAACCATTACAATTTTGTAGGCATTACAACACCCATAAAATCTCAGCTTTTTGTGCCAGTCACCTCACCCAGAAACAATTGCGGGCTCTATTTTGATCCTAGTTCCATTCGCATTTCTAAAGTAGCGAGTGGAAGTGATAACATTGTTGTGACACGTCTCGTTGGTAAACGTAGCATAATTATAACATTGGAGGAAAGTAACACTTTGCAACACGACTAGTTTTTCCAGTTTTAGTTTTATTTTTTTCGATATATTAACTTACTAGCTAATTATGAATTCAATAGAAGTTGTTCAAGAACTTTCCGCTGCAAAGAAAAAAACAGTTTGAATGTGTATATACGGTTCTTTTTTTTCTGCTTTTTTTAATATGTACAAAAGGTGTAAATATAATAAACAATTGAGGGAAAATAAATTTTTGACAACAAAGAGCCAATATAAATATCAAAAGCGAAAATCCCTATTTGGATCATTATACGTTTCTCGGAAACTGCCCACCTACCCCTCCCCTAAGCCAGTGATAACCCTATTTTATCTCTGTACAGTCTAAAACAGAGCTCTAAAATGGCAGGTAATATTTTTTCGGCCTCGGTGTTTGGAGACAGACGTTATCTACCCTTCAATCATGAACTCACCAGACGTCCCTATAGATGAAATCAGTGAAAATTGTTAATAAATGCTACATGTACATGAGGGTGTGCTGAAGCAGAAACAGTTTCTATTTTTGTCCATAGACTCGATGAACTCTAAAAATGGAAGGTTTAAGCGCAGGTCCAGTATAACAAGATGTATTTTAGGACAACAGTATTTGATATCAAGAAACGCTTTTTAAACAGTCGAGGCCTAGAGGAAAACAATAGTAGGTGATTTCAACAGATTAGATGCAAAGCCAGACTGGTTATCTAATTGATTTCTTTTGGTAAAAAAGGACAATAACTGTCCAGGATATTCTTTACTTTAGTGGGCAGGAATAACTCCTTTTTAACTGACTCTTCTTCGTACAGTTCCACATTTCTCTTCTCTTTCTTTCCGTCAACAGTTGCTTAACTTTAATTTAAAGTGTAACCACGCAACAAAAATGTGCTAGTTATTAAGTATTCCAATGTGAAAGTACGATAAACGATTGTTTGCTTAAGAGCTGTGTGGTCTCTGGAGCTTAATTCTCATTTCTCACGGCAACTAGCCTATCTTGAATGTCTTTTCATGGCTCTTCCTCACCGCTGTCGCACGGTAGGACATTCCAGCCGCGAATAGCGTCACCCTGGAGGTCAATGCCTCTGTCCTTGAAAAATATATTCTTTATACAACCACTAAAACCAGTATTAAACTTCCCATGTGTCATTTTTGCGATATTTTCACCGCCTCCTATTGGAAATAAAAGGAAAAAACATAAAGATAATACAGGCTATAAAAACACATATATGCCAAGAAAAAAAAGACGAAAAAAATATATGTACAAAAGGTGTAAATATAATAAACAATTGAGGTAAAATAAATTTTTGACAACAAAGAGCAAATATAAATATCAAAAGCGAAAATCCCTATGTGGATCATTATACGTTTCTGGGAAACTGCCCACCTACCCCTCCCCTAAGCCAATGATAACCCTATTGTATCTTTGTACAGTCTAAAACAGAGCTCTAAAATGGCAGGTAATATTTTTTCGGCCTCGGTGTTTGGAGACAGACGTTATCTACCCTTAAATCATGAACTCACGAGACGTCCCTATACATGAAATCAGTGAAATGTACATGAGGGTGTGCTGAAGCAGAAACAGTTTCTGTTTTTGTCCATACACTCGATTAGCTCTAAAAATGGAAGGTTTAAGCGCAGGTCCAGTATAATAAGATGCATTTTAGGACAACAGTATTTGACATCAAGAAACGCTTTTTAAACAGTCGAAGCCTAGGGGTAAACAACAGTGGCTGATTTCAACAGATCAGCTCCAAAGCCAGACTGGTTATCTGGATGATTTCGTTTGGTAAAAAAGGACAATAACTGTCCAGGTTATTCTCTACTTTTTTGCGAAGAACTAATTCTTTTTTAATACTCTTGTTCGTACAGTTCCACATTTCTCTTCTCTTCCTTACCGTCAACAGTTGCTTAACTTTAATTTAAAGTGTAACCACGCAACAAAAACGCGCTATTTATTAAGTATTCCAATGTGAAAGTACGATAAACGATTGTTTGGTTAAGAGCTGTGTGGCCTCTGGAGCTTAATGCTCCTTTCGCACGGCAACCAGTTTCTCCAGAATGCCTTTTCATGGCTCTGCCTCATCGCTGTCGCACGGTAGGACATTCCAACCGCGAATAGCGTCACCCTGGAGGTCCATGCCTCTGTCCTTGAAAAATGTATTCTTTATACAACCCCTAAAAGCAGTATTAAACTTTCCATGTGTCATTTTTGCGATATTTTCACTCCCTCCTATTGGAAATAAGAGGAAAAAACATTAAGATAATATAGGCTATAGTTCGAATTATCTCCTGTTCATATGAAAAAAAAAATCTTCCACATTATTAAACATCCTGAACACTGATAAAGGAGGTAGACTTTTAGATAATACTAAAGGACCATTCACACCCAGTCTGCTTGCTAGCTTAATAGGTAAGAGCACTGCACCGGTATCGTAGAGGTCAGGGGTCGAATACGGGCATTCAGGCTTTCTTTTTACAACTGAGTTGTGTATTGATGATCTTGTCTGCATTTGGTTTTTCTTCCCGCAGTTCAAATATATGAAATCCCAATATTACGGACTGCCCATTCTGATCGTAGGGATGACTGATAAGATAAGGATATACAATGCACTTACCCATAAATATGCTATGACCTTGGTTAATATTCAGCCCTTTGCTTCCCTCAGCCGAGGTGCCATTTACGTGCTCATGATTATCAACTTTAAGGGAACCCTCACTGAAACTCCTACAAAATTAAACGACAAACGTCACTAGTCTAATAATTAAAATATCGGAGGGATGACATCACGCAGTCAGTGCTGCTTCATATTATATAGAAGCCGAAATCAACAATTGATTAAAATTTTTTTCATGGTTGACAGTCGGGGGGTTTATTCTCGGGCCCTTCCTTGTTCCTCAAATGTAACGCATCTAGAATACGGAGATCTAGGAACTATTATTTCAAGATTGTAGTTGAAAAAGTTTGTTACCTGTAAACCTTGATGGAGTGCCATTGGCTGTCGTTGACTGGAGACAGAGATTGTAGTACAGCGGGCCCAGAGCCGAGTTCAAATCTACGAAAGACGTAACTGATTTGCTAACATGATTTTAAAGTATTCTCAGGGTAGGGGCCGATATATTTAGTTCCTGGTTATTTGCAGTAGCGGATCCGGGGAGGGGCCCGGGGGCCCGTTCCCTTATTTTTTTTTATGTAGATCAGTGATCCAGGATTAATGTGTAACAAATTTAACCGAGGATGTGCTTCACTCAATTTCATAGTTAACTACTTTTAAGCATTGTTTTTGCTCAAATTCTCCGCAAAATCATCAATATGAGAAAAAAGACGTAAAGCAATACAATTTTTTAGCCTCGGTTGACGTGCGTCACTCAAAAACGCTTTTGCTTAAACTCCCTATTATTTTATCGTCCCCGGATATTCAGTTTATGTGATCCATCAGTACATTGATGTAGCGAAATATATTGTTTTAATACGTGTATATTGTCTATGTTTTTTAGTGTATTACATATTTCAGAGGCAATTTTAGTGACATTCAGATGCGTCAGTCTCATATGCGACCAGCTCCCATCAGCGACCCCTAACTTTTGGCATTTTTGGTGGTCAAGGACATGTATGGGTGCTTTTACTCTGAAAGCAAAAAATACCTAAGTTTAGAAAGCGACCAGTTGTAGGGCCGTCAAGAGTCCTAAAATAATTACCTGAACTCCAGAAATCGGTCTCTTAATCCGATTGCAAAGTGGTCTCTTCTCTGGAAGGTGCAAGAAGAAAAATTTTTCATAGGGACACCGAATTGATCCAGGTGTGAACATGAGGTATCTGTTTATGTTGCTTGATGCCTTACAGATCAAGGGAACTGTTTGTAATACAAGGGGCATGTGTGTGTGAAATATACACGAACGTTTTGGAAAAGAGATACGGAAGTGTTTTAGAAAAACGTTTTGTTCTTACAATCTCTTAATAACTAAGAAAAAGCTCAGAACTGAATGTGGCAAAGTAGAAGGATGTCTTTTCTGGTCATCGAATTATCAGGCATGAGTTATAAACAATCTCTGTTGGCCGAACTCATTACAACACTCTAATTTACCTCTCCTTGCCATAGGATTACACCATTTTGAGCTTCTGTTTTTATCTCAAGTGACATATAGTCAGGTGTTGTCGATCTGTAAGAAACATGGACACATGCATGCTCAAAGCCGTAAACATTGTACTGTGGATTATAAGGTATTTAGGCTTTAAAATACCAGGATGGAAATAAATTGGGCGCTCATTTTCTATTATAACAGTCGTAAAACTCTCCTGATGCTGAGAAATGTTAGCTCAGAAGGTTCACTGAACACCAAAGAAAAAACCTCACCTCGGTCCTCGCATGGTCGATGATGGGAATTCCAAGAAACCGTCACCACTGAGCAATGCATTTTTTCCAAACTGGACAGCTACAACGAAACAGCCAATCAGCAAGAGTCACTGGAATCGACTCAACTATACGTTGCCTCATGCAAGCTATTTTAAAGAACTTTGCACCGAAAAGGTTAAAATAAACCCAACAGCAGAAGTTTGTAAACTAAGGTTTCTTTAGTACTTAAAATCTGTTGCCAGTGTGCGTGTTTTTTTTGTAGGGGTTGTCGTGAAAAAATTCTACTGCAACTATGAAAACTTACACTTATGTAGTTTAGAGAGCGTGACACCGGATAGAATTCACTGTTCTAAACGTGTGGCCTCTTAAACGTCCCCAATTAATTAGAGACAACTTTTCAGCTCGAAGTAGACTTGTGAAGAGAACCAACAACAAAGTCAATCCACTGTGTGGCGCTAGAATCGATTCCAGCCTATATCAGTGGAAGGCGTTTACTCTTACCATTTGCACCACCGGTAGTTCCCCTTCCGGTTTTAAAAGGCCACCAAGACTTCCCAAGTGTGGCCTCCAGGGTATAGTACGAAACGCTCTACCCATGCTGATGGCTCTAGGATGGGGTGGTCACCTGTACCCGCACACAAAGACTGTGTGCCTTTAGATCCCTTACATTGAAAAGTTTATACTGCGACAACATCAGTTATTGACAGATTATATATCCGACGCATTAGGAAGCTATTTCATAAGGTAAAACTTCTACTACTTCTACTACTTACTTATATTACACTCTCTGCCTCCATATCCGAGCGGGCAGTTGCATAACCTGTAACACAGTAAATCAACTTTTAGGCTCCGAATTTCTGAAGCTCTCTAGGTTTGGGAACCGCTTTTATCGCGTCTTAAAATTAAGTATTGTTTGTATTCAAGTATTCAAAGATTCTCTGTCCATTATAGTAAATATAGTCAACTCCCTTTATTTCGGACACCCTCCAACGAATTACTGTCCTTAATCGCGAGAGATCGTCATTTGAGTTCCGAGAAGAAATTTCTTTACAAATATATCACTATTTATATTTAGATGACTATAGTACCAACCGTAACGCAGAAAATATTGGACAGACTGGCCGAACTTATCATTAAAACAAGCTGCGGGTTGACTGTAGTGGAGTGCATTTTTCTTATGTTTGGAAAAATAAAAAATAAATAAATAAATAAATAAATAAGTAACCTGTCAGATGACGATAATTCAACTCCGCCATTTACACATATGTTACTCTTCAAAGGCTCGGCCAGTGTAAACTCACACTTTTGTCCAGTATATCCAGCAGCACAGGAACAGAAAAAGCCCGTTTTTCCAACCGGGATGCAAGTGGCATTATTCAAACATGGTTTTAATTCACAAGGCAAAAGGCATTCAGTGCATTGTTTGATACCGCGCATGTCAAGATTGGACTTGAGCAGGTTTATTTCCCTACCATCTACTGATAGTTCGGATATACAACCAGAGACCGGAGCTAACGCCAACTTTACTAGTGTGGAATGTCGTGAAGTTTTTCACTCCGCCTATGAACAAATCTAACAAAAGATTTAATCCACGTGAACAACACGGGGAGGAGCCTTTCACTGGGGGGATCCTCATCCAGAACCAACAAGCTGTCTCTCAGTTGTCTTTCTATTATTACAGTGTGCCAGAATCCTACGGAAATGTTTCTGGCGCTGCGTAAAATACCAGTACCACTTCCCATATTGAACCTGAACTCAACGCGCCCTCCGTTAATGGCAAGGGAAATGAAGTCACCGCGACCAGGGAATATCGTCTGACCATTGTAAAGTAGAAGCATATTGCCTGATTTAAGTGCGAGGAATCTGATGGAGAACTTTAGTTGCAGAACTGCACCTTCGATTCCTGGTAATGACATGTATGAGTCGCCCTCGAACATGGGAGTGTCTATTAGCCTTCCTACAGAGATGAATACTGTAATCAGTTTCCTTTTTAGAACGCCAAATGACATAAAAAACCAAAAAAACCACCAGAAAAGTCCAAGAGACGTTTCTTTAACTAAGTACTCTTCACTTGATTTCTATGATACTCCTCACCCTGGGGCTGCTCAAGTGACAGAGGCGTTTTATAGCGACCTTCTTGGGTCTGGTATTTCAAGTAGCAGCGACTATAACCAGACCTTTAGGTAATTGGGAGCGCTGCTTATTCAAACCCTTCAAATAGGGAGGGGGGCACTATCGAAAATGACCTTACAATGAGCCGCTGGCAAGCTATCATCCCCGAGCTCCCTCCTCCCTCGATCCGGCACTTTTAACATCTAAATCACTGAGCAAAAAAATGAATTTGCACCAACATGATCCTTGCAAATATATAGCACATTTATAAAAACTGGAGGAGTAAATATGGGTCAAGGATGGTAAATGTCATTTGCATACCAAAAAACAGGGGGAGGGGGAGGAGGGGGGGGGGGTGAAAATCCAGTTTTTCGTCCAGTGAATCAAACAATAAAATACGGTCTTTCGCCCATACCAACTGATGCAAACCACTTAAAAAGTATTTAATGCATCCTATTCAAACAGGAAAAAATTGGAATTATACCAAAGCTCACGTTTTGACATCAGATCGTAAAGGACTCAGGGGCCTTTGGTCAACAACAAACCTTCCTCACACCTCTCCCCAGAGTAACCAGCAGGACAGATGCATCTAAAACCATCATTGCCGATATTTTCACAACGCCCCTCATTGCAAACGCCAGGTGAACACTTGTTACCAGCGTCATCACAGGTCCTTCCCGAGTAACCAGGCCTGCAAGTACAAATAAATCCCCAGTCTCCAGTGACCTCCGTGCACGTGCCGCCGTTCTTGCAAGGCCTTGTTTGACAGACTTCACAATCATCCAAACCCACGCTTTTAATAGGATCACCTGAAATTTGTTTAAAGACGTATTCAAAGGGTTATGTCACGCTATTTTCTATTTTTTAAAAACCTATAAAGTGTCTGCGTATCAATTAAATTCGAAAAATAGTTTTCCATTTTTTTTTTCACAAATCACGTAACAAATCATCATGGTTAGTGTTCCCTGGTGGAACTTTTTTGAAATCTTCTTCATTATTTTACAGAAGCATTTTGTGTATGGGTAAAGACCCTAAGTAATGACTTCAGCACGGAGTTGACATAAAACGATAATATCCTTGTGACAAAATCCATTTAAGTATTGTGTTTTGGCAAGAGAAGGAAGAAGATAAAATCTAATTATAAAATTAGGTAATTAAGCTCCACCGAAAGGTTACAAAAATAGTTTCCTGGGAAATTTGGAAAAATTAATATGTCCTTGGAAGGAAAGTGTTGCAGGGCAATACACAATGCGGGCTGTCAGAGGGGATTTGGTGTATACAATGGCTTGTATATTCTATTTGTTTATCTCTCCTTCCCTCATTGAAGGGGTGAATATCTCCCATAGGCCACCCCCAATTACCTATGCCCCCCCCCATTGAAGGGCTGAATTTTGCCCTATGACCACACCCAAACTGGGAAGTAATGTCTAGAAATGTCTGGACATACGTCAGGTTGCAGGTTTTAGGTGAACTTTGCTGGCTGGGAACTCTTCCATCAGTCTTACTGGGGGTGAGGAGCAGATATATTTTTCCAAGCGAGCTCCCAAAATGCTTAAAATGGCTTCAGAAAGCTTTATTTATGCTTTGTTGTTGTTTTTACGTCTTTTTCTCAAATTCTCCGTTGGGTGCCTCTGTTAAATCTCCTCAAAAACTACTTTCCAGAAATTTTAATCTTTGAAAACCTTTATCCAACTACCATTCGTTTTGTCCCTACGAAAATTTCTCAAAATAATCAAAGGAGACGATACATGTACCTGTTTTTCTGTTTTTAAGGTCCCTATTTTTGATACCAACCATTTTTGTAATGGAATGTAAAAGAAACAATTATATTCTTACCAAAATTTACAACTTTTCCGTCGATAGCCAAGTAGCTTAAACAGCCAATAAATCCTGACTTGAATCCCCCCAAAGAGCTTATTGATGAGAAGTCAAGGATTCCTCCCACGTGCAAATCCTGATTCAAATTCAGACCTGTACTACTCCCCTTAGAAATTCCTGTTACAGGTGGCTCCCCATCTACGGTGAGATTTCCTTCCTTCCTGTTACGTGATAAGACGACTCTGTGCCACTCATACAGGCTCAGTGGTTGCCGGCTTCGAATGATTGCAGGCTCAAAGCCAAGGTTGAATCTAAATACGGATAAGTTCTCTTCAATTTTGACCTTGGTTTATATTTAATTTAATTTGTTTCAGACTCTTTTCTTACGTTACGTTACCATACCCCCAAAAAAGGAAAAAAAATATCAACCAAGGATAAAACTGGATTATAACATGTGCATCACAGTTAGGTTAAGATTAAGAATGTTATTTTAAGCCTAAAACTGACATGCACAGCCACTTCAACGTGGATATAGCCCATTTCGAAAAAAAAAATCGTAATACTCTCTAAGGTGCCGGCTCAGCTTCACCATGGAGGAGATATTCAAGTATACTTTGTTAGACTGGGACACTGGAGCCCAGAGTATATGTGGGAAGCTTGCGCTGAAGCGGAGTCTTTTTTCTTCAATCTGTGCTCACGGAAAATGGCTGCACGTTTATATTACATTTGTAAAAATTGACCATAGGATTATAAGTCCAACCAACACACAATCTACATGTAAACTGCAGCATCTTATAATGGTGTGTTCGTGCTAAGTATGTTGATACATATGACGTGATGCAGTTCTTAGAATAAGTCACTGGAACAGTCAGAGAGCATGATGCACCCCCCAAACCAGAACTTAAAGTGTTGTATTAAATAGAAGCTCCGTTTTAAGGCTTGGCTAAATGTATGCAATATGACGGCAGCCAAGGTGGAATATGATAGACTTGGTTAGTATAACGATAGTTTGGTTACCTTGCTGTTTCAGGGTTTACAGAGACAAAATAAGTTCCGATCCTATTTTTGCATTAGTTTTCAAACGACCTCGAAAAAAGATTTGTGAATAACCAAAGGCTTTATGGAAAAGATAGCTTGCGAGGGCAGACTCCTGCTAGAGCTAAGCCTCACAGGACTACTGGCGGGGATCAAGAAGGATGCTCTTCGTCCCTGTTTGTGAATACAACCCCATTACCTAAATTCAGCAAATCTGTCTGACATTCCAAATGAAATGAAGTCTCCAACAGAGCCATTTGTCAGCTGATCGTTGTACAGAATCAGCCCATCCGCCATCTCCGGTATGAACACAATTTCAACCGTGAAATTAAGTGGCTCGTCTGAATGTCTGTACACTGAGGTAGGACAGAGGTTCCTGTGTAAATCGTGGAACGGTCACTAAGAAGAGATATAGAAAAAGGACAGATACAAATGTTTGGTGACCATTACTAAGTTATGGTTAGAGTAAATATCATAACAAACGTGTCTTCTTGTCCTTGACGCGAAGTGTGCTTAGCAGAAACTCCCCAGTCTAACCCTCATCATGACCGCAAGAACATTCGTAGCTTTTCGCGTTGGAATTGCATCAGGAAAAATGTATAGGAGGAAAGGCACTTTAAAATTTTTGCACCAAAACTCGTCAAAATAAAGACATGAAACAAGGAGGGAGGTTAAGGTAAAATTACTTCCAAAGAGCCGACCCTTTGATACCTTACCTTTAATTTCTAAAATTCCACTTCTATTAGCCGATCCTTCAACATTTTTGGCTTCACAGTTGTAACTCCCAGCATCCTTTTGAGTCACATTGGCAATCTTTAGAACTCCTCTTTGCACTGTACTGCTGACTGGAAGCGATCCGTTAACTTTCCGCCATGTTAGGTCTGGAGATGGGGAGCCGCTAGCGATGCAAGTGAATTGCACGGTCTCACCAGTTTTCACACGTGACTTCTGTGGAGTAACCATGACCTTGGGGGCCTCTAAGAGTCAATAGAGTACAGCCTTGCCATTCGAGTTAATAACACAATGTTTAATAGTAACA